TAAATAATTCATTTGCATCTTCTTTTTCAATCTTCTACCCCCACCGCTCAGATTTTACGAATTTTGATTTCAATATTTCAGTATTTCACCTTACCTCTATTTTGAATGAGATTCATACTCGTACTTTATACTACTTTATAGTGATTCTCACTTTGTGTTAAGGGCATCAGCAATCACACGCCGAACTCCAACGTAACTCTTCTAAATTCTTAGGCATATAAATCACCCTTTTTAAGCATCCCTAAATTCTTATGTTTTAAATTGAATGAAAAAACATTACATTTAATTTGGAACAATCATATTACCATGTTAAAGAGTGTTTCCAGATTATCTATGCATTTGTTGGAGACTGCATCTATTGGACAGATTGAATACTTCAATGCTTCATGCTTACTTTGTTTTGGACAAAAGCATCTACTGGACACAAGTTCCACATTTTTTGCTTAGTTTTTGGAGACCATCTATTGGACACTTCATGATCAAATACTTTTTGCTCTCTTTTTGTACTCACAAAAGCAGCTGAAAGCCCGAAAGACTACATCTATTTTCTTTTATTGACTTTTTTTTGGATTTTAAAAACTGTATTGGACATTTGAGATTTTGGGAGTAACACTTTTATTTGGTTTGTTGTGGCTAATGAGCATTAATAGATTTAATGCATTATTAGTTTATTATCTTCTATTAACATTTTTAAACTTCAATGTTGTGGGGTAGCAAGTGAAATTGATCATGATAGGATCGACCTATTGACCAGTCGAATCGACCCGTTTCAAACAAGCCGGGTTAGGTCCAGTTCCAATATTAAAATTTGAAAGACCCGTCCCTACCCAAACCGTATCATTAAAAATTAAAAGCAAGCCGGGTCCGGGTTTGAAATATATTAGCCCGGTCCGTGCCCACCCCTAGGAACATGTGGATAGAAAAATCTGGTTTTTGATGAATTGATTATATAGGGAAATATGTGTTTCAATCCGCAAAACAAATTGCATTATATATATATATATATATATATATATATATATATATATATATATATATATATATATATATATATATATATATATATATATATATATATATATATATATATATATATATATATATATATATATATATAGATTTTTTTGATGATGTAGTTTGGTTTTCTTTAATTTGCATCTCGATTGAACAGGTAGTTAAGAGAACACAATAAAGATGAGTGACTTTGAATGTCGAAAGCTCCGAAATATATGCATTCTTGCA